TAAATATTGTTTTTTTTATTTTTAGCGAACATGACAAAACTCAAGGAAGAAGCCCCGACTAACTTCGTGCCAGCAGCTGCAGTGCTTTTAGTTTTGTATAGAAATATTTGCCTTTCCAAATAACAGTGAAAATTGTTTTTGAATTGGATGGCATTGCTACAAATGGGGCGGCTGCTGCTGCAGCAGTTCGTACAAGGTTGAAAATGATTTTGATCTTTTAATTTGTTGATTATAGGTGGGCAGTCGTAATTGGCTGATTATTGGACTTGTTTTGTAGCTTATTCTGATGGTTTGTGTATAGGGACTAATAGTGCAACAAGATAACTTTTCATTATTTACCATTATTTGACATTTTTAAGAATTATAGCCTCATAATCAACTAATTATAGCATTGTACTTTCGTTTTTTTTAAGTAATGGTGTTTGGAAATCTATCAATTACGACATAATCACACACATCCACAACATAACAATACTAGATAATCCCCAACCCAAATGTGGTGAATATCCTCCAAACGTAATTTTTTGCAATATACAACAAAAAAGTATTTAACAAAATCTTTATTTTTTGTATTCAATCCAACATCAATAATGATAATACACCCAAACCCAAGATTTTATATCAAACATTTATCAACAAAGCTCTTTTCAAAGAAAACCCAACAAAAACTATTGAACATAGATAAAAAAAAAAAACAAAAAAGCCGTCCCGTGTTCACCACGGGATCACCTCCTAGTTTGTATCAAACACCGTTTGAACTTTGAAGTACCTTTCTGTTAATATTAGTATTGTAACATTATAAAAAAGGACAATAAACAAATAATGGGTTTGTTATGGGGGTGTTAGTGTAAACTTATTTTTTTGGGCTTAAGCTTATGGGCTTAAAAGCTTAAGAAGATAAAAAATATTTGGATTAGCTTATGACTTATTAGCAAATAAGCTTTTTTAAAAATAATGTTTGGATTAGCTTATTTTTATAAAATGACTAAAAAAGAATAATGTAGTTTCGAGAAAAGAAGAATTATTTAGGGTTGAGGGTAAATAGGTAAAAATAGACAAATAAGCTAACCATTTGGGAAAAAAAATTGTATCGGTTGTCATATCTCATAGATGGTAGTTAGATGATCGATTTTTCTACGGAAAACCTTTTTCAAAGTTGCATCAAAGAAGTAGGTAGCCTTGATCTAAAAGAATGTCAATTTTTTTATCGGTTGTTATATCTCATCGCATCCGCGTATTATGAAGTTTATACCTTATTTCATGTTCGATGGAGAAGTTAGCAGTTAGCAGATACACAATCTCTCGGTTCCTTCGTGATGATGTGGTCATTTAGTTTGTCGATCACAATGAACTTGCACACTTGTCAAACTTCATTGCTGATGAAGTGGATAAAATCCGTTTTTATGTTCTAGAATATTGTAACGAGATGAGAACCCTAGTAGATGGTAACACTGAGGCATCTTAAAGAAATTGGAAAAATTACGCATGTTGAATTTGCCACTTTTGAAAAGCATTTATGAAGGTCCAATGCAAGGTCTTCTCACCGGTTTAAAAATATTGATATTGATGTTGACATCTTTGTGTGCATATTATGCAATTATGCAAATTTGTCATCTAGAAGTTAAATGACGTTCTCATATGAAAGAGGTATTTAATGGGTCTTCGAATGTTGGGCTTTGAGGCTACCAAATTTGAAGAAACTAATACGTGATGATATTTCACAACTTACAATTATATTGATGAGTAACCTATTTGAGCGACTTTTTTTTGAGAAACTTAAGATTTTTGGTTGTATAAAGTTAAAAAAAATTGACTTTCAAAAAAGATAGTGTTGTGAAGTTGAAATTAGTTGAAGTAATGAAAAGTTGGTGGAAACCTTGGAAAATGTTCAGGAGATTGAAAAACAATTTCAACACTATTGCACCTTCAGGTAAGAGTCCATATAGTTTTGAAAACTTATTAATTGAAAATTGATAATGGCAATTTAATCTATGATAGCAAAAAGTGATGCATTTCTGAACTTAGACCAAACTATATATATATATATATATATATATATATATATATATATATATATATATATATATATATATGTGTGTGTGTGTGTGTTTGGTCAACTTCAAAGATGCATCTGTTTTTGCTAAAATAGATTAAATGGTCATTAGCAATTTTCAATTAATCTAAATAAGTTTTTAAGGCTATATAGACTCTTAGGTGAAGGTGCAATAACGTTGAAATTGTTCTTCAACCTCCTGAGTCATTTTCTAAGGTTTCCCACCAACTTTTCTCTACTTCAACTAATTTCAACTTCACAGCATTTTTTTTTTGAAAGTTAATTTTTTTTAACTTTAGACAACCAAAAACCTTAAGTTTTTCAAAATAAGTTACTCGTCATTATACTTGTAAGTTGTAGAATATCATCAACTATTAGTTTCTTCAAAATTTGTAGCATCAGAGCCCAACATTCGAAGACCCATTAAATATCTCTTTCATCTGAGAGCACCCTCTGACTTCTAGATGTTGAATTTGCATAATTACACCATATGCACACAAATATCAATGTTTTCAAATGGGTAAAAAGACTTTGCATTTGATCTTCACAAGTGTTTTTTAAAAGTGGTAAATTCAACATGCTTAATTTTTTCAATTTCTTTAAGATTGAGCTGTCTCAATTTCCCAAAACTTTTCTTCCCCTCGATTACGAGTTCTTTAAGATTCTACATTTTAGAAATAAGATCCACAACCTTGGATGCATTTTGAAGAGATGTGTTCCTAGCAAATGGTACCAGGAACCGTCGTACGTATATCAAAGCCGTACGTATATCAATTCTATGACTTGAGGCGGTACATTTTGAAAATGTGTGTTCCTAGCAAATGATACCAGAAAATCTTGTTATCCCCACTTCTTGATGGCAAAATTTCATGTTGGTGTTTCATATTTTCACCATTTTTCCTAACACTGTTTCTGAATGACCAGTAATACTTTGTTTCATGAAACACCGAAGGTATCTTTCTTATCATGCCTTTGCCTATGTTTTTCTTTTCTTGAATTTCTTAGGAAGATAAGGAGAAAGGAAGGAAAGGACTTGTACTTCATGCTTCAAGAGTTGTAATATTCTTGAGATCTTAAAAGTGAAAAGATTATATTTCACAGATTTACAATGCCAATTCCTCTAGCTCCATATCCAACTCCTCCTATACCACTTACAACCCCTACCATTGGTATAACTGCATAGTTCTTACTAGATTAGCAACTATCCTCATGAGTTCAATAATTTATTCGTGGTTATATTCTTGTATTTTCCCTTTCCTTGTTTAAAGATAGAAACCATAAAATATGGATTACAACAAGCTAATCTGTACAGCAAAAACAGATATTGAATCAAAGCAACAAGATTTGAAATTTCGGAAAGTAACTCAAATGTTTTTTCATGATTATATACTATATAACAAAATGATTTCTGAATTTGATGCACGAAGAAAGCTCAGAATGACAGAAAAACAGAGCATAGAGTGCTTTATTTTTCTTTCAATCTAATGTTCCTCCTCCTGCTATCAAACTTTCAGTTTTAACGGCATCCAAATAGTTCATACTTCACTGTGTGTGTTTTTTAACATGAATTTCCAATGATTTAGGCACTGAAATGGCTCAGTTGGTTTGTGGAGGCTGCCATACATTGCTCATCTACATCCATGGTGCGCCAAGTGTACAGTGTTCTCACTCTTATCCGATTCAGATCTGTGCGCTTTTTACATATCTCTATTCTTACATGGATTCAGAATAAAGAGAATGGAAACAAAAATGGTGGTTATTGGTGGGTTTGGGTTGAAGGGAGGAAGAACAAGGGGAAGGGAGTGTGTATGTGTGTGTTTTTGTGTATGTATGTGGGCCCTTGTAAAGAAATTGTTGGTTTTGAAAGTTGCTTTTTGTGTTGGCACTAAGCGGACCCTGTTATAGTTGAAGACAATGAAAGCGAACCTTGTGAGTTTTATAAACTTTTAAACTGTATTGATGGTTTTTTTATAAAAGTTACTTATTTTTTCTGGATACTTAGGTACCTCCATTTTAAAATGTATTAATGATTCTTTTGTAAAAATTTATTATCTTTTATTAAGATGTGAGTGCTGCTCAGCATTGGCTGAATTAGATCAATGTTGTTATGCAAATGAGAAGGTGGAGATCATATGAAGGGTAAGTTAGTTATTTCATTTGGATTGGGGACCAAAAAACTTCAAAAAAGAACTAAATTTGCAAAGATAAAACCTTTTCAGACTACACCAAATTTATAACATGATTTCATTGGATTGGATTATATTGATATTGCGAATGTTTTGGATATTGCTTTCATGGTCTGTTGAATTTAATGGCATTGAATCTAATTAATAATATGCTTAACGGTCATGTATGTTTATAGGGAAGAGCCTTTATTTTACGTTGATTCAACATGTGTTGTAGCTACTCTTGGTTAGTATCGTTTTCTTATGTCGTTATATATCTTGTTTTGGGTATTTTAGGAGCTAGGTTGTTGGGTTTCTTTTGTTCTTTTCCTTATGTATTCTTGTACACAACGTAAATAGGAACAACGTAATTGAAAGGTCAATGCTCATAAATAAAAGTCGGCCAAAAATGACAAAATTTTAAAGGGAAAATACCGCTATAGGCATAAAATGGGGGGTAAATTCAAAAATTTAGATATGAAAAATTAAAATTCCGGAGATAGACATGCGTTCTGCGGAGGACCCTCTGCGGACCTCCGCGGAACCATGAATTCTCCGCGGAGAGGGGTAGTTTTGTAATTTCACCCTCATCTTTTTGACCAAAATGATTCCTCCTCTTTGGTCCCCCCCACTGGTCCCCGATTCCGCTTTGGCAAAAACGTTTCTCCGCATCGACTGTTGATATTGAGGATTCCGACGACGACTTCAAATCCGGCGACAACGACATCAGACGACATCATTTGCCGGCGATTGGAGTATATTCGACTTAAAATCGGGCACCGATGGAGGGCAATTTCCCCGATATTTTAGCCGATGGATTCGGCTCCAGGGTATTTCTCACATTCCTCTCTTTTGATTAATGTCGTATACGATTCAATTGTTACGAAAACCCAATTGATTACATGGAAATATATATACAAATTTAGATTTGGGATGTAAAGATTCACAGGTTCGATTTTGGGGAAGATCCATTCCGCGGAGATATACGTCATTCCGCAGAGGATTCTCCGCGGAGTGATGTATTCCCTCCGTGAAATGATCTAAGTCACCAAAATTGGGTCTCCGCGGAGGGTAGAGGTCACTCCGCAGAGGGTTCTCCGCGGAATGACCTCTAGCCTCCGCGGAATGACCTGAAAATGCTTATTCCCCAAAAAAAAATTATGCCCTTTTATATCCCTTTATATATATATGAGGTATTTAGTTATATATAAAAAGTATGTTGCTATTTATTTTCAATTACTAACGTTTTATATAAAGTTAAATGTTATGTTTTGTAGCACGATGATCTCAATCAAAAATCGGATTTAACTTTAAAATGTGTGGTGGGTACTATTATTAAAGACTATTTTCCGCGCCTAACACAATCACAACGACTATTATTCGAAGCTTCGCCGTTTGGAATATTCTTAGGAATGCATATCCCACATGGTGATCCCTTACTTGTGCATTTGATGATGTTGCACGAAGTAAGGTCTCAACAAGTATTTGAAATGGGGAGGTTTCTTTTTGATATACAGGGGATGCAGTTGGATTTTGGTGAAACTGAATATATTCTCATTTGTGGTTTAAAAGTTGGTCCTTATGTGGATTTACTCTATGACGAAAAAGGCCGGTGAAATTCAAATATTCGTGTTCGGTTGTTCCCAGACATTTCTGATGCACGTTTGCGGCTGAAAGATTTAGAAGACTACATTATGTCTCCGAATTATTTGTCACTTCAGGATGAAGATGCTGTAATGCTTATCCAGCTTGTTTTTATGTTGAAAGATCTCCACGGACGGGACGCTAAAACGGGCATTCTCGCGGCAGTATACAAGCTTGCTCATAATATAGATGATTGGAACAGGTATTACATTTAAAGATTGTGTATATATACAATAATAGTAATTATAAAAAATAAATTGAAAATTACAGGTTTGCATGGGGTACATATTTCTGGACCTATACTTCGCGGTTGATGCGTGAAATGTTTAAGAAAATAGAAGAATTTAGACTATTTAGACAGGCCAATCCCGAATCCAAGAAAGTACACAAGTATACTGTTCCCGATTTTATGCTTCCGTTTAAGGTTAGTTTCTAATGCATTTAAATAGTTATCATAGTTCCCTTTTATGCTTACATTTTTTTACATAGATATGGATTTTGGAGACGTTCCCCGAGGCAACCCAGTTTTATATACACACGCCGACAGAATTGCCACGGATGAGGTCGTGGAGAAGTAAAACATCGTTAACTTGGGTTCAATGTCGTCGAATAATCAACGTGTCTTTGGTATGCTTTTAATATTAAGGATTATATATATTTACAAATTCCAATGTTTTTCATGTTAAACTAACAATCTGATTTTTTGCAGCCTAACAACCAACCTAATTTTGTCGTGGCAAACCTGACGGAGCTGATGTTGTCGTTTTATGTTCGCTACGTGAACTGGACTCTTAACCATGAAGAGTCTCCCCCACGGCAACATACTCCGGTCCAAAATAGTCCAGAGTCTCCCCCACCGCAACATAGTCTGGTCCGAAATAGTCCACCTGTTGTTGCCTCGCCTCCTCGAAGAAAGAAGTACAAGTCGGAAACATCTTCGACTGAATCTGGCACAAATGCTTCTTCCTCGAAACATGTTGATATAGAAAGAACTTATATGTCAACTGACACATCAACAAGGTTGGTAAAGAAGAAGAAGACGAGCACAAAGGTATTAGTGAAGCGTCTACTAGGCGTTGTGGCTGACTTATCTTCTAAAGTAGATCGTGTATTAAAGAAAAAAAGATGAGCCAAACACAGGGTTTGGAGACGAGGAGGAGGAGGAGGAGGTGATAAATGAAGAGGAGGAAGAAACATATTACCATGGTACACAGTTAAAATATGATGATTTAGGTAGTCATGGTTTGGAGAGGGAACTTGGGCGTACACCTACGCATGTTGAGCCGTCACTGGACGCGAGTGAACATCACACAAAAACAATGACTCCTATTGGTAGGCCACAACGAAAGAGGGGTGTTCCTTGGTATCAGCGAACTCCGTTCACAATGGTACAAAACTCATATTTTAAATTTGGTATATTTATAAAATATAACATTATTGATAATTATTTAACATGTTAATTTTTTAGATGCAATCCACACCAAAAGTGAAGAAAATCACCAAAACAAGGGAAAAAAAGCAGTGGAGAGTCCTGAAAAAGCAAATGAAGACATTGTGAATGGAGAGAGTAATGATGTTTCAAATTAGCTCTTGTTGGACAGGTTCATGCTGCTAGTATGCTGAGTTTTTGGAAAGAATGGAGTATGATCTCTTCCAACCTCAACACAAAACATAGGCTGCATATACTCCCACTGGATGTGGAGTTTTGGTCGAGGTTACTTGCAATTACTGACTCTGGGTGGTTACTTTCTTCGGTAACATTCGTTAAATTTAAATTTTAACTACTTTTTTAGACGATAATTTATATAAATAATTGTAACATTTTTATCTTAAAATGTACAACATATTGCGATATGGATTGCCCTGCTCATGGAAAGACGGCCGACGAACGCAAGGTGGACGATATATCCTCAAGAAATCAATTTGCAACTCAGCAAATCATTTCTTTTTAGGCATATAGCAAATGGTGTTGGAAGCCGTCCTAAATGGAAGGATGTGGATATGGTTAGTTAATTTTAATAATGATTTATTTATATATTAAATATTACTCAATTTACGACTATTTAATTTATTTATTGTTTGGAGGTTCTATTCCCCATAAATGTTGTTGCTACCCATTGGTTTATGGCGGTGCTACATTTAGATACCTGAAAAGTAGATATTTATGATTCGGCACGATCCATGAATTTCTTCTCAAAGTACCTTACTGGTGGAGAATTCTAAAGTTTTGGAGATAGTATTATCTCAGAGTTAGATGTCATTGAGTACTGGAACGATTTCCCCGTTTGACACAAAGACAAAGCAATTGGGGAGTTTATTGATTTTGTAGACACGCCACAACAGGAATATACTCTTGCTAGATGGGATTGTGGAGTATTCGTATGCATGTTTATGGAAATGATTGTTTCGGGGGTACCAGTGAAGATTGATAAGCCACGTAGAGATGCAGGATTTCTCTACAGAAAAATAGGATGACAAATATTATTTGGGATACTATATAACTTGATTTTGAGAACTTTGTGTATATATTAATATGAAATACTTGTTTTTAGTAATTTTGTTTAATACAAATATGTGTTTTTTTTTGTTATACATTCAAACAAAATAAACATTACAAATAACATAAAAACATTACAAATATAATAAACATAAAGGCATTACAGATATCATAAACATAAACATTACGACTAACAAACATTACAAATATCATAAACATAAACATAAAAACATTACAAATATCATAAACATAACCATTACGACTAACAAACATTACATAAAACATTAGAAATATGGAAACAGTTGTCTACATGAAAAAAGATTTATTTTTAACTAGATTCCAAACGTCCGTATACTCAAAATCAGTTCCATCAAACTCGCACAGGTAATATCCGTTCACGTCTTCAAGAAGTTCTTAATCGTCTGCATCAGAGCGTCGCTTTTTCTCATAGTTGTAGAATCGATTGAACCATGTTACTTTAGTCTTTAAATCCATCCATTTACTAACAACATCGGGTTTTAGTCGTTGGTGTCCTTGTCCCACCTCATAGTTGAACAAAGCTATTAGGCGGGACCATTCATCACCAACAAGGCAATTAAGGAGAGCCATTACTGGTAGACCCTCGTAAACGGTAATCCAGCATCGTGTTAGGACCAACACCTCTGATGTTGTCCATGAAGATGAACCATTTGTTAGAGCTGACACATTGGATGGATTTGCTGCATTCGAAGAAGTTGGTACATTGGACGTTATTTTGTGAAATGATCCCTATTGTCAATTAAAGATGTGAATTTCATATAGATAGAAGGTTTACTATATATAAAAAGATAGGTTATACGGACTGACAAGTCAGTTATGCGGACTGACAAGTCAGTTATGCGGACTGTCAAGTCAGTTATGCGGACTGACAAATCAGTTATGCGTGGAGGATAATATCAATGGCCAGTATCGCGAACTGACAAGGTTTACTATATATAAAAAGATAGGTTACGTGGACTGACAAATCAGTTACGCGTACTGACAAGTTATTTACGCGGACTGACAAGTCAGTTCTGCGGAATAATGTATACTGATTCCTTTTAAATTGGACAAGCATTTTCATTTTTACAAGGTTTCAAAAGTTGTGAAAATGAATTTAGTCAATCAGGTATTAAGAAAAGGTTTCTCCAACCTACCGAGTTTTTTCCATAATCTGCAAAGAACCAATCCTAACACCTTCACGTACATTACGAAATATCAGTACAATCGTTTCAAAATTTGTTTTGTGGCATTGGGATGCGTGGTATGTAATCCCTTACAGTAAATATTTACTTATTTGAAGTTGTTATATGGCTAATATTCTTATCTTCACATGCAGATTCGTACGTTTCTCACGTCTATGATACCAATCATATTCGTTGGTCAAGTACCTCTAATTGGGACGTACGTAACATCCATGTACATTGCGGTTGCTTTAGATGGAAATCATGAACCCCTTCTCATAGCATTTTCTTTGGGAACCATAAACTGTGACGATTCATGGTTATGGTTCATGAGGAGGCTTAAAGAATGTTTAGGTGACAATACGGAAGTTGGTTTCATAAGCCATATGTCTGATTCCATAGACTTTGCAGTTCAAAGAGTCTACCTTGATTCATATCATGGCTATTGTTGTAAACATATAGCTAAGAAAATACGCGCTTCCACCGGAAGCAATACAGTTGTAGAGCAATTGTTCTGGAAGACTTGTAAAGCGTATAATACGTCTGATTTTTATGCGTTTTAACAACTTACAACATGAGGTGAATGGGAATGATCTTGATTGGCTTGACAATATTCCCATTGCAAAATGGGTACGGGATTTTTTCCCTAAAGTACGTTTTAATGTTAAATTCATTGACATTCCCGATGTTGTCAAGTGGATATGAACAAACAGGCATGAGTTTCCAATAAAAACAATCATTGAAATGGTTCATGACTTGATGCAAGCAGTGTATGTTCAACGTGCTGCATTCGGAGGTAATTATAAGTTATGACATCACTTAAATGTTCAAATGATATGTTATTATACATTATGACATCATAATTTTTGTTTTATCATTCAGTTCATTTCACTGGGGATTTTCATGGTATTCTAACCCCTTATGCACTAAAGGTGCTTCATAAAAGATTTATCCACTCCGATGGTTGTAGGATTAGGCATATTGTTGGCGACACATATGAAGTGAGTAAATATTTAACCACCGAAACTGTGCAATTAGACCGTGGTATTTGTAGTTGCGGTAAATGGAAAAAATGCGGTATACCTTGTGAGCATGCTATAGCTTCACTACAAAGGCTTGAAATTGTAGAAATCCAGCAAATGGTAAATTTAAAGTTAACTATCGCGGTGTATCGAAATGGTTTTCAAACTGAGACTGTCAATCCTATTCCAACCGTTAGGCATTGGGAAATACCAGTTGAAAGTGTTGTCGTCTTACCTCCACGACAATTGACTTGAACTGAAATGTACGGATCACAACGAATATTAGTTTGTATTCAGTTCTATGTTAACCTTACTTTTGGTCCGTTGGCGTTGTTTAGTTTTTAATAAATAATGTTTACCTTTTAATAAATAATTGTATTCCCATAATTGTAATGTAAGGATGACAACGACTTGACACACAGCTATGCGGATTGGCAAACAGCTTTGCGGACTGGCAAACAGCTATGTGGACTGACAAACAGCTCTGCGGACTGACAAACACCTCTCTGCGGAGTTGAATGGTCTATATATTGTCATGGATGATCGTTGAATTTTTGGTAAAGAGTTACAAATTATTTTGAAATTTAATATGAGTTCATCTTCAAATTTGTATATTTGCTCGTGCAACGAACTTGATTATTTCTATTGTGATCCAATCGACCCTTTTCTTGCCCCATCACCAAACATAAGAGAGTCGTATATGTCTGATGATACTTTGCAACAATTACAATGGGCTGAAGAACAACAAAGACAAGATAAAGAGTCATCTCGGGCTCTCACTGAACGTTGTGACCTCATTGCGGCAGAGTGCAAAGAGGTTGAGGAAAGGATGCAGATTGATAAAAAAATCAAAGACCACGAGGAATAGATAAAAAAAGACTAAGAAGAATATCAAACTGACTGAAAAATGGCTTGCTGAGAAGGATGCAGAAATGATAGATCTTGGGCGGCAAAAGGACCGTTTTGAAGATAAAATAAGAATTAGGGGCGACTATATAACAATGGAGAAAGAAAAGTATCCTTTGCAATTCCCTTAAGTTAATTGCTATTGTTGTACGTTTATTATGTGTTTTTGTTTTGTTCTATGTATTATCGTCGAGTTTTAGTTATTATTCTACTAGTAATGATGCACTAATATGATCATAATATTACCCATAATCTTTAAACTAACCATACCATTTCAAAGTACACAATCAACGTCTTCCAAAACATGACATAATTAATTATAAATACAACATCAATCATTCAAATCAAATGTTGAACAATAGTCTTCTCTTTGCGTTCCTTGTGTCATGCGCGTCTCTTGTGTCTCGTCCGTCTCTAGCATCTCGTGAGTCCCTTGTGTCCCTTGCATCCCTTTCCCTTTCCTTTTTGTGTTACTACCTGATGTCGAGTTACTTTTTCTAGCCTTATTTTGCTTCATTGGGACCAATGTCGGACAAATCGCTGCATTATATGTTGTACTATCACATCTACTACACCTTCTTAGTGTAGGTTCCTCACCTTGTGACGGTATACGATTTCTGTTTTTCGGTCTACCAGCTTGACGTGTATCCATTATCGGGGGTTTAACAACCATCATCTCAACAGGAATCTCCCAATCACATGGTTCAGGAAGGAGGTAAACCGCCTCCTGATACGTACTTCGGTACGTTTCCATTTTGTAAGCATCTATAGCCAGATGTCCAAAGTTAGTTTTTTTCAAGTGCTTTAAGACCATTATGACATTACCACAAGTCAACCCAGTTCCTTCCTTATATTTGCATGTACAAGTCTCTTGCCTCAGATCAACTATGCCACCATGTTTGAAATCATGCACTTGATATATTGCATCTGAAACACCAGAAACGGACCATCCTGTCGTACGCTCTTCATTTTTTCTAACTACTTTTTCAGCCCACTCCGTTAGTATTGTTGAACGTTGCCCTGTAAAGAACATATATATAATGAACTTATTATTCGACATAATTAAACTTTCATACCTCCATCGATGCGACGCATGTTACGTCATTCCTGTGAAAGACGACGGAAGAACTCAAGAAGGGGTACTATAGGCATCTTACTTGCATCTATAGATAAAGCATTCATGGACTCTGCATTGTTCGAGGTCATGTAATCGTACCGTTTCGACGGGGAATATGCTCTAGTCCATTTAGCATGTGGAATTTCACTTAGATACGCCGCTACTTGCGGCCTAGTAGTACTAAATATATACCAAAAATCTTCAAAAACATTTCTTTTGTAAGCTCTCACAAGCCTCCAAAACAACACTTTTGTTTTATCATTTTTCCCAAACCTATGTACTATGTTTCCTAGTAGATGAAAAGCACATACGCCATGATGAGCATGTGGGAAAACATTTTCAATACTAACCTGAATTGCATCGGCCCTATCAGTTACAAACGTCAAATCTTGACAATCACCAACGCATTCATACAACTTTTCAAGAAACCATGTCCAAGTAAGACCACTCTCTTTTTTGCATATTATGTGCACAAGGGGCACTATCTGGTTGTTCCCATCCATAGCGACCGCATGCAATATGGTTCCCTTAAAATCACCCTTCAAATGAACACTATCCATAATTATAACTTTACGACAAAAACGTTTGAACGCTCGTATGTGCAATATATGAAAATGGAACACATAAACACTATAAATTTTTTTTACAATTAATTATATATTAAATAACAAGTTTTTTGTATTTACCGTGCTCCCAATGGCATAAAAACAACACTCGAAACAATCTTCTGAATCTATTTGTATATAGGCCACCGTACCGGGATTATGCCTCTCCAAATTGGGAAAATAAATATGAAGTTTGGAAAAACA